AGAATTCCCCAGCCAGCCTGGCTGGCTGGGGAATTCTGGGAGTTGAAGTCCACTCCTCTTAAAGTGGCCAAGTTTGCACAACACTGGCTTAGCCAATTCCTTTACCTTATAGAAGAAATACTGTACAAGATGGGATATTCTGACGTAATACAAATGCCCGTGTGCCAAGAGCAATCTTCTCAAGTGTTTAAACTTGGGGACGGCGTAGTCGCTGTTCCGAGCGGCTTGGCGACCCTCTTTTCCCTTGATACCTGGCAGAGAGGGGGAATGGAGTAGGTTGACAGCGCACCTCACACACCTCAACATCCCAATCAGCAAGAAGTTTGCGTTAGCGCTTTCTGCCTGGCCCCTGCGCGCTCCGGAGCTCACCTCCACTGTCCCTTATTCTCCTCTGACCCACACGTGCCCAAAGGCAGAGGACCCCAGTGTGGGTCAAAACATCCCTTACCGATGCCCACGTGAGCTTCCAAAATCATGCTGACGTCATTGGCCCCGTCTCCGACAGCCAGCGTGATGGGGCTGCCCTTGGAATTCTTAACCATGCGGACAATCTAAAGAGGCAAGAAGGACCGAGTGGTGGGTCACGACCGGCCGGTGGGGAATATTCCTTCCCCAATTTCAAGCCCACTTCCCCAGGACCACGCTGCCCTGAAAAATGAGCTCGGGAGCAAACCGATCGTTCGGAGCCACCTGCTTCCCAAAAGAGGCGACACGCAGCATTCACCTTGGATAAAGGGGGTGTCAGGCACCTTTCTGCTGGCGCAGGAGGTGGCTGCTCCCTCAGGAAGGCGGTTGACGCACCTGAGCCTTCTGCAACGGGGCCATTCGGCAGCACAAGACCGCGGCGCAGTTCAGGCAGATCTGAAGGAAGATGTGCTTGTAATGGGTGAAGAGCGAATCTTGGGAAGGGTTCAGGATCAGAGAAAGGGTGGCCCCGTCAATGACCAGCCCGTATTCGTAACTTGATACCAAGCTCCTGAAACAGAGAAAGGCGACCTGTGGGTCAGAGTCCTGGACGTGACTCCCGCCGTAGCCAAAAGAGCAGAGGAGGAGGATCGGAAAAAGTCAGGGTAAGTGAAACTCGAGGCGTCGCAGGCGTTCTGTTCTACTGCGTATTTTAATCCCTGTAACAGTTAACATGTGTAGGAAAATGCACCTGACGCTGCTGCTTAGAGGGGTCGCCCTTCTTTAGTGAGAAGGAAGAGGAGAGATGGAAAAATAGCATTTCTTTGGGTCCCACCTGTTAAGACTCTTTGGGTTTATACACGAACACACACAGAGAGTTTTACACAGCACTTTCAAGGAAGGGTGGCCATCTTCTATTGTAATCACCCCTACAAAATTTACACCAGAAAGCAACTTGCTGATAAGTTGCAAGTAAGCATGCATACGTATGTATATGTGTGTGTGTGTGTGTGTGTATGTATACACACACACACACACACACATTCATTATCATTGCTGGATTTTTTTTCTTTTTCTCTTGCTATTGTTTCGTTTTTTTCCCCTTTGTTCACTTTTAGAAATCAAACAGACCTTTCAGATTTTGAAAAAAACGTCATCTTAGAAAGGCACTGACTTACTGTGGCCCCCATTCCTGAAATTCTTTCCCAGCTTCATGGTCTAACCATGTTCTCCACCTTAGCTTAGTAAATATTCCAGGCTTTAGATGGACCCAAATTCGGCGGAAAAAATCATGGATGTTCGTATTAAGCAACTGCATGATTTAGGTTGCAAAGCGAACCAGTTGGGGGTGATGTCAAGGAGGAATGCCCCAGTAGAATTATATTTAATATGTGAAATGAATAGAAACAATTAAATATAGGATGGGGGTGGATTAACTGCATCCAGCCTTCTTGGCAATCCTCCTTCCCACCCCCCCAACACCCCCCCGCCCCCAATTTCCTTATCTGCAGATCCCTCCAAACATGTTTCTTGGGTTCTCAGCAAGGGAGACATCAAGGCAGAGAAACAAGAACTCAAGGTATCCAGCAATGTGGCTTACTGGGGCCAAGGTAGGTCAAACTGAGATCATCTTCTTAAGTATAACCACTCTGCAACTTCTCCTTTCAGCGGACTTGACTGTGGATCAGCTCTTATCGTTAAGACTGGATGCACTAGCAAAGATTTCAGTTCCAAATACGCCAGGCCAAAAAAGTCCATCCTCACAGATGTCTCCTCCCTCTGTCCCCCCTAGATCAGTGTTTCTCAACCTTGGCCACTTTAAGATGTGTGGACTTCAACTCCCAGAATTCCCCAGGCTGGCTGGGCAATTCTGGGAGTTGAAGTCCATACATCTTAAAGTGGCCAAGGTTGAGAAACACTGTCCTAGATTATTGTAAGGTGCTACGGTGGCAACTGATCCACACCCAACCCTTCAGATACCGCTTAGGGTCCCACTCACTTCTTCCCTGGGGGTGCGTCGGTCACCAACTTTTTGTGATAGTCCATCAGCAGCTCGTGCAGCTGGTCCATCTTCCTCTCCCCATCCTCCACGGTTTTTACTGTCAGCAGCAGCAGCTCTGTGTTGCTCTGGAAGAGGCGGCAAGCATAGCACGTGGCCTGGGCCGTCTCCAGTTTGTCCCCCGTCAGCACCCAGATCTTCATGCCTGCCCCGTGGAGGGCCTCAATGGTTTCTGCCGCAAATTCCTGGAGTCTGCAGGAGAACCGGTGGAGATGACTCAACAAACCGGTGGGTCTTCCTCAAAGCTTCCTCTTTTGCCTTTTTTAAAAAGACAAATCACTGGATTTCTTTTTAGAAAAGAAGTCCTTCCAAACACGTAGCAAGGAAGCAGTTGAGTTACGTACACCAACACTCACACACTGAGGGGCGCAAAGGCAAGAAGAATATACAGAAGAATTCTGATCTGGACAAATGCAAGATTTAAAAGTGGGTCTTCTCCATCCACTTCTCCAGTTCATGACTTAGAAGGCTTGTTTCCAATTCTTGAGGCTTATTTGCCAAGTCAGTCTTCTCTAACCTGATGTTCTGGACTACAATTCCCATCCTCTGTAGCTAGCATAGGTACAAAACCTGTTAGAGATTTCTATCAGAGCATCCTTGACTGGCATGACCAGTTGTTGTTATTACAGCATGAGGTACGTTAAATCATTCAAGTGGCAAACAAACCCTTAATTCTGGATTACATTTTTGGGTACCAAATTTAGTTTAAAAAGCTAAAAAAACACATCAATTCAATTTTGTCCTCCCCCGCAAAACCCTCTGCTCCTCTTAAAAGGGAAAAAAGGTGGGAAGGAGCGTTTAATTGGGTGGTCCCCACATTTTCTGAATGCAGAAAGTTTGAGAAACAGTGGTCTGCAGAGCATGCCCTTACCCACTGGGCTAAAACTGTAAGTTAAATGTTTCCCACTTGGGTGGAGGAATTTGAGCCATCTGATTAGTTGCTGATTAAAATGTGTTGGGACTTCAACTGCCTTTGAAGGCAGGATGGGTCATCTCAACTAGCCAGTGGCTTACTTGTCTTCCACAGCGGTGGAACCAATCAGATGCATGTCCTTCTCAATCTCATCAAAGACCTTGGCCATCCTGGCTTCTCGGTTCTGTAGGGCCATGGTGGCTTCCTTAATCTGGACTTCCAGTGTCCCGTAGACTGCGGGAGATACTTCTTTGTAGGCAACGCAAAGAGTCCGATACCCGTCCTGAGAGACAACAAGCAGACAGGTGTGGTCCCTAAAGCCAGGCCTTCATGACTAAGTTGTTCCAGAAGAAGGGACAACCTGAACCATTCTGAAATATAATCCATCATCTCTCTAAAATGGGCCAGGCTGGGTGGGGTGGATGCAAATGCAGAGATAACATTGCGCTACGGATGACTTCTTGAGAACATCACCCATGTTCTGTAAAACTGCCTCCTGCACAGGACAGGGATCCTTCAGCAAACTCTTCATTCCAGATTCCACAGGCATCTCTGTGTAATTTTCTCAGAAGTGATTTCCCACTGGCTTCTGGGATTTCCCCCCTCCCATGTTTTAAAAACTGCCTAGTCTAGTCCACAGGTGTGGGGTTCTCTCTTGGTTTCCTATCCAAGTATTAGCTAGTTCCAATCCCATTTCCCATAAATCCTTGTGGATAAGCCCATCCACAGATAAGCAGACCCTCGAATTTTTAACCAAAATACCACGAAAAATGCACCACCCACAGACGAACTGGCCTGCTTCTTCATGGTGTTTTGGTTAAAAATTCGAGGGTCTGCTTATCCGCGGATGGGCTTATCCACGAGCGTAAAAGGGAAATGCAAGTACTTTTAAGAAGTATTACCATATATACTTGCAGATAAGCCCATCCACGGATAAACCGAACCCCATTTTTGGGGTACGTTTTGGCACCTAAGATTTTCAGCTTATCCCTGAGCAGCTTTTCAAATTAGCCAAAGCTGGCTGGGGGTTGCCACTTGCTATGATAACATGATGATGCAGGGAACGCCCCGTATTGACCTTGCCCCAGGGGCAAAGCTAATTTCAGTAGACTTTTGCTTTCCTCAATTCTAAAATACATCCACCTGGGGAGGGAGGGAGGGAGGGAGGGAGAAGAGGAAGAAAGCCACCAATCTCTTTCCTCGTGGTTAAAGTTTAGGATGATGGAACCCTGAACATCTGCAGCCCCAGGTGGCCTGAAGGACTTACCACTGCATTCTGTTCCACGTGGACCCTGGTCTTCTGTGCTTCAGCTTCAGGGACCCTCGGGAAAATTGAAGAATCTGCTCCTTTGCAAAACAGGTATATTCTTCCTAAAAGATGGGGAAACAGAACATTTCGATGTTAGTTAACGTGCAGGGGATACCTCCACACCAACATGTGCCTTTGGGATAGCAGGTCTGAGGAGCGAAGCTTCTAAGAAGATGCACAGGACAGAATCCAACTGCAGTTATCTAAGCAATGAGGGCACTGGGCATTAATGCATGTTTGTCAGGGCTGGGGACGTTCCATGTGGTTTAGTGTTGAACACACTGAGAAAGCAAATTGTGTTCCTTCGCTGTGGCTCACAGGGCCTTAAAAAAGGCCTCCTATGCACCCTTGCTTGCACACTTCTGAACATTTCTCCTGGGGATATTATATTGCTAGTTCACGCCCTTCTTCCCATCAGCGAAGCGTTTCAGAGGTTTCAGCTTACCATCTGGCATCTTCACGAAAACGCTCATCCGGCGGCGGACGCAGTCAAAATCAAGGACGTTCAGCAGCTCGTACCTTTTTTTTTTCCAAGCAGGAAGGAAGAGAAAGTGTGTTTAGTGGTGGGGAAAACTGGCAGGAATTTTAGCCCCACTGGGCTCAAGCAAGGAAAGTGCTAACAACAACCGCCCGGGGTCGCTCTGCAGTGACAACTTTGAAATATAAACCAATAAAATGAGTGGGGATCTGGAGGAAAACCTCCACGGGCTCCTGACCCTTGAACCGATGAAAATATTCACATCCTAAGAATTTTGGGAGCTGCCGACCGATTTAGCAAATATAAATATAAGTTGTAAATATAAAATATAAATGCAAGCATAAATATTTAAAATAAAATCAATGTAAGGAATAATTTAAAATGTAAATTAAAAAACATAAACACAGTAATTTACAATATTACTGATAAATATAAAAGCTAAATGTCATTAGAATAATTTAAGATATAAATATAAAAGCACATGCAGATACAAGCATAAATAGGGCATGACCATATTTTGCAAGACTATTTGCAGAATATAATTGCAGGAACATCTCCATTTCAGAGAAACTGTATTAAAAAGCTATGATGTATGTCTTGCACATTTTTTTTCCCCCAGACACTGACTACTCTGGCTTTTTTTTTAAAAAAAAAATTAAGTGTCCCAAATATCACAAGATTGCTAACTCCTGTGGGATTCCATGGATCTCACCTCTAAGATATGATGCCATTGTGAGTGAAAAGACGAAAATTCTGCCTAAAATCTTGAAGATTTCATGTGAGAACACTGATGCCTTGATGACCATCATCAACATCATGATCATCATCAATTTTTATTGACTGAACTGGGGGCCTATTTCAGAGCTGTGTGATGGACCATTTTGTTGCCAAATCTTGCCTAAAATAGACTGTTCAGTTCTCCACCATGGAAACCCAGGTGGCTCTCCCAGGTGGACCTCACAGGTCCACAGTTCAACACACCCCTCTCGCTCCTCAGAAGCAGAAATGAAAATGCGCTGAGAAGACTGGCACCAGGCTCAGAAAATGCTGCCAGGTAAAACGGGGCGAGGAGAAAAATAAAAATAAACCAGCCAGTTCATTTCTGGATCCTTTTCAGAAACACTGCCTGGTATTCATGCTTCTGTGAACAGGATCGGGAAGCCCCTGAGCCTAAGCTGCAAACACACCTACCTTTCAATTTGCTGTTTGGGGTTCTGTACCTTCATGAAGTTATTTTCTTGTCCTAGAAAAGTGAAACCATACCTGTCAATGAACAAAAAGGACAGAATGGCGTTGAAAAAAAAAAAAAAAAAAAAACCAACGCCCGCACGCACGCGCACGCCTGCCCCACGCACACCCCTTATTAAAACAAAAAAAATAGACTCAATAAAACGCGGTTCAAGTTCTTACGCCCAAAAGTGCATCTGCGCTATCGTACTCGGAAGCCAGAAAAGGAGACTTCCGCTTCCCTCTGCCCATGCCCAGGAGGAACAAATTCAAAGGGGTGCACCATTTTAACCTTTCACATGCTGAAAGCTGAGTCAGATCCTTCGGAGTGCCAGACTAGAGTTACGCTTTTCTTCCGGGCCGTGGGGTACAGAAACTTACCACCCTGCCAGCTGTGAGTGGGGGTGCAGAATTCCTCTGCATGAGTTTCCCATCGACACTGAGGTTTACAGATAACGTACTTGAATCAAACCAAACCAACCTTTATTGCAGTCGCAGATCACCATTTATAATGTGCCGAATAACTCTTGTTGGGAGGATCAAGTCAAGCTATTAGAAACCTCCGTTATTGAGCCCCAGGACAGCAGGTCCTGATTCTTTGCAAATGTTCTCTCTGCTCTTTAACCAGTTTGGAAATGCTGGTTTATTGCCTAGTTAGCTGGGCCTTTTCCAGCGCTTAATAATCCAAGATGGCTTCCATGTTGGAAGGACCCCCCCAAAAAAAAAATATGTGAGTATTTCAAAACCTCACTAATGAAGAGCAGATGGTTGTTTTGGTCTTAGGTTTATTCAGGAAAAGGGCAGCTAGCCCTTCCATTTTGCCTTCTAGGAAAAAGAAGGTCAAAACTCAGAGACCCTGCCTTAAGGAATCCACTCGTTTCTAAGACTCTGCTTCCTAATTCCTTATTTCTTGACATTAAATCTGATCAATGAAGCTCTTGGGTGAATTCTCCTTCCCTGATCATGTCCTGCTGATAGGGACTTGGCACGTTGGCACCAAGAAGGGACCGGAGAGGTTCTCTCCACCCTGATCCCTAATCCGGTCCAAGTCAAAATGCTTGAAATCAGCAGCACTGTCCTTGCCCAAAGCAGCTTTTGGCCCTAGGAGGGTTTCAAGCATGAGATGAGGAAAGAGGCCACCTCGGATTTAAACAACAAGCTCTTTTTGACATGCAACATCCCCAAAATGCTTGCACTGCCTCCCTACGTTTACTCCTACACAGTTCTGCTCAGGTGATCCTCCCTCCTGGAACGCCTTTATCCTGTGTTTTTCGCAGCACCCAGGATGGCTTAGGTAAATGAAAGCAGAAAAAAGCACACACTGAACTCAGTTAACAGCAAATATTTAAATGGGAGCTACCCATCAAGTAAAATCAATCTAGAAACAAGAATGCTAGCTAGGAAAGCATCATTAGCCTGGCAGCTTAAACATCTACAAGGGAAATAAAAGCATGTCCCCAGCCTACTCCCAAATCTCTTCATTTTGCAAGGAAGCAAGTTTGCCTCGATTGGGTAACGCCAGCCTGGATGGGAAAATGAAGAGATTTGGGAGTAGGCTGGGGACATGGGAGCAGAAGTCCTGGTGAGTCTGTCATGCAATATACATATAGCAAGGAAGCAGAACTTCCAGGATTTAAATGCACGAAGGCTACAGCGGGAGCAACTTTGGGAATTTGTAGAAGAGTGTGCGCCAAAAGTCTTAGACAAACTCCACCTCCATATTCTGGAGAGTGTTGGCCAGGAACTTCATCTTGCTTGCACGTTCGAATGCAAACTCAACCCCCAATGTTCCATCCAGATGTAAGGGCAAACTGGAAGACTGGGGGTGGGGGGGGGGAATCCAGAAGTCTGCAACTTAAAAAAAGCAGACTGAATGAAATCAACACCACGCTACCTCTTAAAGGAAAGTGCAAACAGAAAAGCACTGAATTAAAGGAACTGCATGTGAAGAAAATGCAGGCGTATTTCTATTTGGGGGACAAAGGCATGTAATGTAAAGTACCCATTTTCATGCCAGCTTTTGAAAAAGAACATTCACAAACGGGTGCTGAAAGGAGCTGGGGAAGAACTGGGTGCTGGGAAAAAGCAGAAATGGAGCAAAATGAAAACAGGAAAATTTTCCCTCTCCTGATGTTTGGTGCTGCCCTCTCTGGTGCAACGTTTCAATCGTGAAGGCCTTCTACAGAAGCCCAACAATTTTTATTTCTTTGGTAGTGATCTTCACCACTGGGACTCTGAATCTTTGTCCCTCCATTGGACACCTTTAGGGTCTCCGGATGATTACTATTTTTCTCCCTGTTTTCATCATCTAAGCCGATGTTTCTCAACCTTGGCCATTTTAAGATGTGTGGACTTCAACTCCCAGAATCCCCCAGCCAGCCTTGCTGGGGGAATTCTGGGAATTGAAGTCCACACATCTTAAAGTGGCCAAAGTTGAGAAACATCGGCTTAGATGATGAAAACAGGGAGAAAAATAGTAATCATCCGGAGACCCTAAAGGTGTCCAATGGAGGGACAAAGATTCAGAGTCCCAGTGGTGAAGATCACTACCAAAGAA